AAGGGCATCTTTGTCCCTTTCAGTAAGAGAAGGGGAATCTTGTGATGCGTGTATGTGGTCGCACGGTCACTTTCTTTCAAACATGTCCTCGATATATGTATGTGGTCGCATGTTCGAAAATCTCTAAAATTAACAAAGGAAATTGGTCCAGATTTTAAAATCTTAATTAGGAGAAATAAAATCTTATTTAGGAGCAGATACAAAATAAAAAAATTGTTAAAACTTCATGCAAGTTCTTTTGAACCCTTACGCCATTTGCAATGTTATCAAGGCGGCGAGTGGCGGCGTTGCCAAGTGGTTAACGTGTCGGACTAGTAATCTAAAGATTGCTGACCGTGGGTTCAAGCACTGTCAGGGGCAAGCCGTTGTTTCTTAAGCAAGAAACTTTACATTCATTTCTTAGTACTGGTTGGTTCCAGGAACGGATTCGAGAGTATTTCAATAAGCGTACAGCTTCCAACACAATCGAACTAAAATAAATTTGTACAAACCAAGGAAGGTAATTCTTACCGACTTTCCTTTTATCACAACAGTTATATCCCTTTTAAACCCTTATGCCATTTGTAGTATTTTCAGGGGAGTTCACTCTAACCTACTCTTTTTCAACGCAACAGTAACCTCCCTTTTGAACCCTTACGCCATTTGCAATGTTATCAGGGGAGATCACTTTTATGGACTCTTTTTTAAGGGCAACAGTAACCTTCCTTTGAATCCTTACGCCATTTGCAATGTTTTCAGGGGAGGTCACTCTAACCGACTTTTTTAGCACAACAGTCACCCATTCGGAACTGCCTCGGCTATTATCTATAATAACCTCGGAAACAATACGGATTGAAAGTAGTTCTACCCCGTGGTTTCAGATGTAAACAGAAACAGAGATAATGTAAAACGAATGTATATATTTGACCTCTAATGTCTGTTCCGGTACTCTTTTGCTTGAAAATATGTCTGACAACAATTTGTAATTTAAATATGCCCACTAATGTTCAATTTTAAACAAATCCGACTAAATGTCAACAGGTTGGATTTTTGTACTTTCGGTTTCTACAACTATAATAATAAACATATAAATAATGTATTGTTTGCTTTTGTACCTATGAATTCACTTATTTCAGGTGGACTTTTACTACATATATTGGAAATAAACGTGTCAACAACTCCCATGCAGCATTAAATTATTTGTTTACATGTTTAGTTTCTTAGCGTAGGTTAGACCGAAATACCGCATCCGTTCTGTGTATTCATACTATTGTGTTCGAGGTCCTTATCCGAAGACTGACGGAAAGGGCCGAGTAGTTGCGATTGAACAGTCACCTTCCTTTTGAACCCTTACGCCATTTGCAGTGTATCAGGAGAGGTCACTCTAACCGACTCATTTTGTTGGGCAACAGTCACCTTCCTATGGAACCCTTGCCCATTTGCAATGTTTTCAGGGGAAGTCAAACTAACCGACTCTTTTAAGAAGACTCTCTTTCGGTTCTTTTTCGGATTTTAGTTTTTTTTTTCGTTATTTCCAAATGTGTTGCAAATCTATTGATTCTGGTATTTCGTATTAACAACACGTTGTCATTTATAAACTTTCAATTAAAATTTCGATTGGAACCAACTTCAATAACTTAAACGACAATGATTAAAACAATAATAGCAATAAAAGAATAACATGATGTTAAAAATGAACTGAGACGAAAAATTGTTAAAGGATTTACTTCAGACTTAAGATTATGTTTCTATTCAAATACGTGTATTTGCCAAAATATGCACATGATTTTAATATTTCAAAAATTTAGACGTAAAATTCAACAATTTGCTCAACATTATAATATTTATGATTCTTTTTCAATTTTTTCTCAAATACATGTAAACCAGTTTTAGTTCGGCCGAGTATTTTTTTTAATAGATACTTGTTTTTTTTGTTTTTTGTTTGTTTTGTTTTGCCTTTTTTTAATTGATAATGTCTCTGTGAGTTGAATACGAGGAATAAAGGGGAGAATGGTTTGAGTTCTTTAGTTTTTAACTTGCTTTGTCATGACTCAGTTGTGCCCCGTTTTAAACATTTCATTATTTCTGCCGCAAAAAGCTTTATTTTGTCAATAACAACAAATTTGCTTTATTGCAGATGGGTTTAAGTCATCAAAGACTGAATGCACATACATTTGTTTTCAATTGACAAAAATATTTCAGTTGTGTCAAATAATAACTAGTGTATTTACAAACAACTTGTTTGGTATTAAAGCCTTTGTTTTGCTAACTCTTCCAGGACATGAAGACTCGACGGTGCTGTGCAGCTTGAAACATTACGAAAATGCGAACCACCATATTGTTTCATTCCGTCAAATTATGAAATTTTCATAAAAGCAAATTGTATTTCAAGAGTTCGAGATGAATCATCATATTCGCAAATATTCACAACATAAATAGAATACAGACTATTAGTAAATACTCAACACCTACGCTCTTAATGTAATTGCTCAATAAATTTACAGTAACCTTAGACACAGAAAAAATTGAACATAATTTTACAAGACACACGAAAACGCTTGAGGATATTATATTATATTTTATAAGTAAAACATCTCTAGTAGATTGTGTCATAAAGTACAAATTATCATTAAATACTTAAAGTTTAGGTCATAACAGAGTTTGTCTCCTCTGTAATAATTAACACGAACAATGGATGTTATATTTATTACATATATAAACATAACATAGGTGTCTTATTGACTAGGTACCTTTTTAAACTAGACTACAATAAATACTATCAACAGTATTTTATAACCTAGACGAACAACAGACTGTCATCATCAACATGATCATCGCTTGAAAAAACGTCGTCACTTTCGGAAGCATCGTCGTCATCCTCAGTTGATGACGTCACCATAGGAAGGTTGAAATAGCCTAAATCTACCATTTTTGGCGATCTCAGAGCTATATGCCCTCTAATATGGCAACCACATCCCTTGTATATTTTGATTGAGAAGCAGAATGACTTTCTTTCAACATACTTACAGAAACTCTTGAGCTCATTATCTGAAGATGAAGACATTCAAAATAAATTAATCATTTTTCAGTTTGAATTGACAAACTGCTTTGATAAGATAAAACCGAAATTGTCCAACAAAGATCACACCAAACAATTTACAAAATCAATATTACTCGTGCATTAAAGAATCGACAAATGTCATCGAAATTTCTCCCAGTGCCTACAAGAATTTGTACTGAAGGAAACGAAAATGTACAGTGTTGGTGCTTAATAATTTTTAACTTTTGTAATGACAAGGAGTCAACTCAAACAGAGTCAATGTACATTCACAAAAATGGCGACAAAACAAAGCGCAGTGCATAAACAGAAAATAACCCAGTTGTCTTCTTTCTGCTACGAAGAACATATCAACAAAACTTAGATATTAAACATGTACATGTACCAATGTTATGTTTAAGTGTCTGACATAATACATACCATGGAATTCCTTCTCAAAGGACACGTTGCCTACCCGGAACAGTCCTTCAATAATTGTATGACGCTTGTCATGATGATTACATTCATTTACACTCAATACCACGACAACTGTAAAACAGAAAATACCTCTTTATAACTAAAAAGATTGATTTAATTGATTTAATAAAATTAAAGTAGTATGTTGTTTATAAGGAAATGTACCATTTTTTTACGTTTTGTTTCATTCATGACAATCGGGACATTTTCTACAATATTTCCGTCAGATGATAAACATTACATTCATTTGTAAACACAGCTTTGCCCCTTTTACAGAACTAAAAGTGTATTAATTGAGAAGAAATCAAAATAATGTTTGACTGTACAGTAGGAAAGTGTATCGCATTTCATCATTGGTACCAAGGTCATATTTGAATTAAACCTGTTGGAACCAACGTTCAAAATTACAAATTTCACTTTCACTATTTTTGCGTATGTTGTGAATTTTGGTCCCGCCAATAATCTCACTCATTTACTAAGCCTGAAGGTTATGCCGTATTTCACAAATGCAATAAAAACGGAAGTGGGTGGGGGAGACAAAAAATCTCTTATTCACAGAAAATAGGAAGTATTTTTTTAGTTACTTTGCTATGAATATCTCTACAAAATTAATTATGTTACAGGCACTCTTAAAAGAAACGACTCTTAAAAGATGAATCGACAAATTAAGTAGGGTGATAGCATTTGAATTACCGTTGTATCCATCGTCATTTCCCTGACAAGCACATCCATGAGGACAACACATACACTTACGTCTGGAATCTATAGCATCAGCTGGAATATAATTTATATTGTGTATTGTATGTGCCTCAAAACGACACAAAATAGATAAAATATGCCATCTCCTTGATACAAAGGATGATTTTGTTTTTCGAAATATACCACGTTAAATAATGGTCATTTAAAAGGTCGACAAAATTGTTAACATTTTTTTTGTCATCACATTGAAAATGTTTTGAAGAAGTACATTTAACAATGGGTGTTTATTATTGTTTTATTTCATAAAAAAACTTAATACATCATATAAGAAAGATAGTCTGATATTATGTACTTGTACTTGCACGTGTCACATAAAAGTTAAAAGAAGCATTGTCTAAATTCGATGAATTCTGAGATAAAGTAAAGTTTAACACCAGATTCTGTATTATATGTTATCATAAATAAAAAAACTTTCACATTGTATATAGAGAATGGTTGGTGCCGTGGATGGAGAAAGTTTATCTGGCGAGGCGGAGGAATTTATTGGGTGAGCCTCAGGCGAACCCAATAAATTCCGGAGCAGAGCCAGATAAACTTTCTCCATCCACGGCACCAATCTATTATTCTATTTATCCTGTCACCGTTTTTTAAAGAAATTTATTAGGCAAACTACCTTTATTCACAGTATCGGAAATGTTTCTATATAAACAAAAAAGGCCCGAAGTGTGCATTATTCTACAACAATGCACTTGCCGTTCTTATTATCTCCCTGCGTATTTTCACATTAAGGGCGCCATTTTGTTTGAAAAATGTGATAAATAAATACAATTTTTTGTCGAATTATGTTGTGAAAACTATCTAGAATGAAAGAAAATGGTCTAACTAAGAAAATGAATTCGAACACCAATATCTTTTATTCAGTCGTTAACGCTGTACAGACGTTTAAAGTATTGTTTACGTGACGTCACAATGTAGCGCCAAACAGCACGTGCAAAACAATCAGATCAAGTACGCTATTTTATTGTCGAAAACGAGTTAAGTTTTACATTTATTTCACTTTTAATAATTTTTATTTCGCTTGAAAAATTATAGAGTGAAATAAAATAAACAAACAAAGTTTTATCAACATTTCCAAAATTCGTTATTCTACACACAGAATATTTAACGACAGTTTTTATATTTTTTCTTGAAAAGTAGTCCGGCAAACATGCATACCACGTGATCAAGTGCCGTAGATCAGTAAAAATATACGGCACCTTGTTATCGGGCCGAAATTGATAAAAGTGACAGGATAAATATATTTACCGAGCTGTTGTGGAATGTCCATATTGTATTCTTCATCCGAATCTATGGATTCTGATGACGTCAACAATGGAAGGTTGAAGCAGCCCATGTCAACTTTTTTTGGGCGTGACATTCGCAAGCATCCCTTCATCAGTCCGCCCTTTTGACCTTTGTCGCTGATGTCGACACGGAAGCAGAACCTCTTTTTATCAAAGTCCTCACAAAAGTCTTCGAATTGATCGACTTAAAAAAATAGTAAACATTTGATGGGTATCAGATTCAATTTAGAGCTAAAGCAATGAACAGGAACATTGACAGGATATTCTGAATTTGCGGTTTTGAGATAAAAAAAAAACAAAAAAAAACAAAAAAAACAGTACGTTAAGTTGCATTGGATAACAAATATGATCCGTACTAAAACACGCCAATTTAATATATTGTCTTACTCTTGAAATCCTAGACATTTACACGAATTATTTAATAGACCAATAAGAGATTGGTAAAATCGCTTGAAAGACATTTTTTACAAAGCGTCTGGATTTTAGGAAAATTTAACTGGATACTAGTACGTTATTTCAAAGTTATGTGCAATTTGCGTAAAACAAAACTTCATTTGACCTCATAAGAGAAAATGGAAGCTTGTTGATGCAAAACGTTTTGTATCCAAAAAGTATTTATTTAGCAAATAAAATTAAGATATTTTTTTTACAATACATGTTTATTTGCTAGATAATATATGTAAAAAGATTGATTTAATTAGAATACACAGACAAATATGAGATGAGATCATAATATTAAAGTTGTAGAATGATAATAGAACCAAAAAGAAATACATTACACCCTATGTAAAAGAAAACTTTTATAATATTATATTTATACAAACCTGGAAATTGTTTCTCAATGGACTTGGTACCGACGAAAAACGTTCCAGCAATAAGTGTCTGTGTCGATTGTTGTCGGGTTTCCACCACTGAGAACACCGCTTGTACTAAAAATAACAATAAAGTGTTATTTACAATTTTAGCTGTCGGTACATTTTACATTATTTCTTATGAATTCTGACCTCCTATATTATAATTTACATACAGTTTATTAAAAGCACCTTTATCCGAGGTAAAAATGTAAGCTAAAACATTTCATTACAAAGTTGTTGTCGATTTCGGCAATAACTTTATTAGCATTATTAGAATTTGAGCTTTGAGCTTTTTCTTTGTTCTTTCTAACCCATTATACCTGGTACACATCCAAACTGTATTGATATAAAACAGTACAGTTTTTTTTTTCATTTGTGTGATAGAGGAAAAAACTCGATTGATATATTACAGTTGAGTTTATTTACACCTGCAATATATCAGTTGAGTTTTTACTGAGGTTCAAAGGGGGCATAGGGTAACACATTTAAAATACAAAGAAGTACCGGTTGAACCGGGTGATGCTCCCCAAACAGGTTTTGGACACAGAGAAACTACTTCTTGTTGATATCTCTTGTAGTTTCAGAGTGATGTCCCGGACAAAGCTCGCGGTGTAAAAATGAACATAGGACACAACCATGGCAGAGTAACTGTTCTTTTGCATGCAAAGCACATCTTCTCAATGAAATCGATCTACCTACAAAGTTCCTTGTTGATACCTCTTGTGCTTTCAGAGTTATGTCCCGGACCAAGTTCAAAGTGTAAAAATGAACAAAGGACAATAACTCCAAAATTAGGCTAGGCAAACTAACGGTTCTTTACATTGTGTTATTCTCATATAGTTTAAGAGTTATGTCCCGGACAGGATCAGAGTGTAAAAATGAAAAAAGGGCAATAACTCTAAAATTAGGCAAGGAAGAGTTACGATTCTTTTGCACTGCACTTCTACTCAATGAGATCTATCTACCTACAAAGTTTTTGTTAATACCTCGTGTTGTTTCAGAGTTAATTGTTATATTGTTTTTTATATGCAAAAGCAAAAACATTTTTTACGGCTGCGCTCACTGACTTATTATTTTAGCTGTGAGGTCGCTTAGAATAGTTATAGTATATGATACTACCACCTAGCAAGAACCACAACTACCTGCTGACACCATCAACTGCTAGATCTACCCACAGTATTTGCTGCATCACACTGGAATGCATCCAGTTTAGGTAGATAGTGTGTGATAAGGAAGACCCTGCCGAGCCTAGTGAGCTTGGGGACCCACCAATGTCTATCAGTCTCATCATGATTTCTAATTCCATTATCTTATCATCTGTTGCGTCTGGCATTGCTTTATATAACCAATATTCACATATATATTCACATATATAGGTGTTGCTTCGTTGAAAGTCCGAACATTTATGAAGCCAAATCATGGAAATGTGTCAATTTATATCAAAACATAAACAAACGTGTGATAATTTGAGCATAACTCGAACAATGGATACTATATAAACCCTGTGAAAGTCGTATAAATTGAGTAAAAGTCGTGTTTATTCGCACCAGACCGTACTACACCGTACTTGGAACCGTACAACAGTCGTATGTATTCGTATGCAAATCGTGTTCAAACCTTGCTTGACCAAGTATGTCCGTGCTTTATTCGTACATACTCGTGCTACACTCGTTATAACACATCCCGAGGCACGGTTGGAGCTAAATATATACTCGTACCAGTCAATCCGTGTATAACCGAGTATACCGTATCCAACCGTATTCTGTATGAGACGGGCTTTATATTGGGTGTACCAGAGACATTTTCCAATTCGAATTAATCCTCCGCAATATTTAAACATTACTACATACCTTTTACACCGGCATCCACAGCATGACACCAACAGCCATGTTTATTACATGCACAGTGTCCCTTGTGCTCGACATCAGCAACTTCTTCGTCCGTCTTTAAACCTGAAGAAATAAAATCACGAAAAAAAAGAGAAATAAATCAATAAAATAAAACTATGATTTTAACGGCATCTGTTTAAAAAGTAAAATAATGACTTAATTGATTTAACCTTTTTTTTAATGTCTTTATCTGTAACTAGCATAAGGCAAACATTTGTGAAGATGCCCCTAGTTCATAAAATATTTAAAGAAAATGTTTGTCATATAAAACATGTCCACAGACTTTAAACATGATATCATACCTTCTATTACATCATGAAACTGATTTTGCACGGAAAATCCGTGCACGCTCACAGTAAGTCCAACAAGACAAAGAGCCGCTAGAAAATTCATCTTTACAGTTCAAACTGAGGCAAAAGACTGAAAAGTTCGAGTTATTTCAACAATATAAACTGCTGGTGATTAAGGATTTGGTCAACATTTTCTTTACTGATATTTAATTGCCAATATCCTGAGTGTATCGTTTGCTCTATAATCTATCCTGTTCAGCGATTCTGCTTGATTTTATAACCTGATATTTTAATTGTTCCTTTCCTTTCTTTTGTCGTAAGAACTTAGGATGGTAATAACTAAGTCCTGAAACGTTACGTACGATGATTTTATCAAATAAAACGAGACACTTACATGAGCTAAATTAACTGTATAATATTAATTTTGAACGATTTAGAATATTATAAGCGAGCTACGTTTTAAGGGCCAGAACGAGAACATTATTGTACATAACGATACGATCATGAGGCCATGATAGTACTTAATATATATTAAAATGTTGCTCATTATTCAATAAAGAAAGCGTACTATAGACGTCTAGAAACATTATTTTCTTGTCTTATTTGTTGTTGCGCAAATGTGTTATATAAATATTCATTATCTGGTGCAGCAACAACATCAACGAACTAAAAACAAAATTTAAAAAGGTTTGGACATTTTGATCCCCCATCGACGTTATTCTTTAAATAAGCATTATAAGAATAATAATACTTTATATTCGATTAAATGCGTATCTTATTTTATCCATATTACAATATTAGATGTATACGATATATTTTTTGTTGTTTGGTGTATGATGGGATAGTTGAAAAGAAATATTTACATTTTATCAGAAACATCTTTTTTTTTGGGGGGGGGGGGGGGGTTGGCGCACCAGAACAATTTAGGTCGAAACTGGAAAATATAATTTTGGCTAAACAAATTCACAAAGGAAGACGCAGGAATGTTATTAATGTCGCACTTGCCACTTGTCACAAAGCCTCCGGCCCTTAAATTTAGGGTGTCGTTTTAGAAAGTCTTGTTTGTATATGTTTGTTAAGATCTTTCACCTTACATGTAACGTTGCAATAATAAATTTTCAATTGATTATAGCCTAAACCCAATCTTAAATACGAAATACATATCAGAGTATTTACATTTCTAGAATAGGTGGAATTAAAATCACAACCGCAATATGTATACAAATTAGTGTTCAAGTATCAAATATGGCCAATTTTAACATAAGTATCATTTTATCAAATAACGCGGTCCCTTTGTACGGAAACGTATAGCGACCATCCCTATATGATACATATCAAATGACTTTTTACAGTTTTATAGTATGTTTGTTATATTCAAATATGATTTGAGGAAAGAATTACATATTTAAAAAGATGTAAGTGTTTTATTTTTTCATTTTGTAAAAGTTAAAAGATGTTTATCTTGCATTATAAGATAAAAACGTACGATAGATTACAAAAAATACGTATTATATATGATTTACAATATAACTTGATTTAATTGCTTCCTTTACACATCATATAAGACGAAGTATCGCTTAAGCTTTGGGATCTATGGCCCTATAATAACATCAACTGGTCGAATATGCTTTTTATACAATATTTATCATGTACCATCCTATGTACATACATTTAAAATGGTAAATGTGTCGGAAGTTATCGTTTTAAGCTCTAAATATTATATATCTTACAAAAATATCATGGTTTATATGATAACTAATTTACATCAGGTACTACTTCACCAGCTAATTTTATGCTTATTAACAACTAACGAAGTTTGTCTTTTTTATATAATCTTTACTTTGTAACACTATCTGAAGCACAATTATTTAAACATGCCTAAAACCCCTGTCACACTAGGACGGCGTTCTCTCGGCGTCCAAAGAAAATTCAGAACGCCAAGGTGAGCGCAGTAAAATCGCAAACATCGCCACAGCATCGCCGTAACATCGTAGTGGCATCGCATAGTAAACTAAGTAGCATCGCCAACTAAAACGCCATAGAAGCTCCGTAGCATCGCCATGATCGCCGTGAGGACGCCGTGAATACGCCGTGAAGTCTTCATGACATCAACAATATCACATTTTTTATTGCGATCTCGCTGCGCTTTGTTAAATTTAACAACGCCGTGCAAACGCAGTGAAAGCGCATTCTAGTGTGACAGGGCCTTTAATATTTGGAATACAAAAAACCTCAATCAAATGTTTCATATATAATTTTTAAAAAGCTTTCTATTGTGCGAGATTTTTCTATCCTCATTGTCAAATATAAATTGTAAAATATGTTACATTATATTTTAAAATGATAGAGGTATGCGAATAAAAAACCTCAATATATAAAACTAATACATATATATGAACGGAAAAATGTCACATAAATTTGAATCCAGCAATATTTACAGCAGATTCAGTAAATGATATATATTCAAGATCAAATGTCAATGTAAATATTGGTCAAATAAATATCGTGTGTTAAATATATTGTCTTAAATTCTGCTTTTACCAACATGCAGGGGCTGTAGATATTACTAGATAAATATTTCAGATCAAGTTAGTTTGTAAAAATTGGTTAGGTATATAATATCTTTAAATATATATTCAAAAATTCTGTTTTAACTAACATGTAGGGGTGGTCGCTATACGTTTCCGTACCTTTGATACTGTTTATATTGGTGTCATTTTCAAATAACTAGATTGATACCAGACAAAAACAACATAACTACTTTTATGGCCGTTTAATGAACTCGTTTTGCCCGTTGTTATATATTATTCAATAATTACAAACAAATCATATTACATGAAGAGTTTATTGACCATTCAACCATTTCTAAAGCCGATTAAGAAGAAGGATTATATTAAGTATTTTATAATTCCTTTTCTCTCCCAAATGTATTTACTTGTTTATTCGTTTATTGCTACCCATACGACATCAAATAACCTATCCCGTCGTTAAAAATTATTGAATATTATTTTGGGGGATATGATCCGTTCATCGTCAATGTAATTTGAAGTAGTGTGTGATAAGAACACTGAAAGGCATTTGACTTTATCAGTTATTTGATCAACAAATGTAATAACTTTTGTTCTATGAAATTGTAAAACAAGGATATAAGCATAATATAGGAAAATGGAAGTGACTCCTACTACTTTGGAATTATTTACGTGTATTTACTAAATGTGGTCTACGTCATGTCAGATTACAGTGCAAGACGTCAACGGTAAGTAAACAACCTACACGTTGTTCACAACGTATGCTGGTCAAAGCTCATCTCATCTCCTCATATTAAACATTTGAGCTGCGTCATGACAAAACCAACATTATGGGTTTGCGACCAGCCTGGATCCAGACCAGCCTGCGCATCCGCGCAGTCTGATCAGGATCCATGCTGTTCGCTATCAGTTTCTTTACTTGTAATAGACTTGTAAGGCTGGTCTGGATCCATGCTGGTCGCAAACCCATTATGTTGGTTTTGTCATGACGCGGCTCATTTTATGTTAAGTAAACTAAACAGTGAACTTGCACAAGATAATTAAATGAAAATTCGGATAAATATCTAAATAACTCTTAATGACCATATTTTATTATAAGTTAATAAAAAAAATGATATTGATTTTTTTGAAATTGATCTATATCTTTATCTAGAATTTTTTTTTCTTTTCTGTGTGATATTTAACATGATTATGTGTAATTAATAATGTCAACAACACTTAGAGATTTAAGATTCAAGTAGTAATTTACACGTTACGTGAGATTAATGACTGATTTTGAAGTATAAATCACCATATTTCTACTGCGTGACTAACGTAGTAAGGTCTATTGTTGCATATGTTGACCTCGTTCTTGTAAGTGACGTTGGCAACGTGTAAATTACCTTCTTTATTCCATTTACAATATTTTTCTTTTAGATCCATTTTCAATATTTTCATGAAAATTACCATGAATCTGGAGGCATAATTTTAAAATGTTTCCTGATAAAAATGATAACTATCTCGCTAGCTAAAGCCACCATAAACCTTAAACTTCTTGGCCAATTAAAAGTTAATGTTGCTTGATATAAGTTAATGAAATTATGAATTTCAGTGTTCGATTAATTGCAACAAGTAAATTTACCGGCTTTTGTTATTTCGTCCTTTACGTTATTTTCATAATTCATTTACCAAAGATATATTAAAGTAACTAATTTTCATCTTTAAGTCGTTTAAAAATATTGATATGAATATTTCGATTCTCAGATTTTTTCTTGTTATTTTTACACTGTCTATGACATTTAAAATTAGTAAACTTCAAGATAAAAAAGATACCGGTAATAGAAAATAAAAAAATGGAAATAAATGTAACGTATGGAACATATTTTAAATTTTTTAACCATTCCTTTGATACTTTATAAAGAAATTCCAACTAGATCCTTAAATAAACAAAAGACAGAAAAGGCACACTTATGAATAATTGATCATTGTTATTCAAATTTAGCTGTCGAGTCCTTTCTACTTGATACGGGTATACGGCTATAAACAATACATTACAAAACCACTTTAACTAGATTACATTTAAATGTTAAAAACACACAAAGTAAACAATGAACGACCGTAATCTCCAGACAGAGAAAATAGACCTCTGTATTGAACAGAGTGTGTAACAAAAATAAAATTAAAATATGTAAAATACACACCGGGGAACAATTACTGTGACAATATTTCAGCAGGTGGAGTATTCTATTTAGGTCTACCTTTGTGATAGTGTTTGTTTTATTGGATATTAGGAAAGAATTTATAATTATATTCATTGACGAAATGGCCATATCACTATCGTTTTAAATACGTTAGTTTAGATCGACTTATATTACGTTTGTTGATAGAACAAACCTACCTAGATACATATTTTTGGAGATACTAAAAAACTATTTCATATAAACATTTGGTAATTTTCTAATTGGATGTTTAAACTGTTACAAAACTTAACAACAGAACAAAAAAATAAATAAAAAATATTAAGATAGTATTATTTTCTGCTGTAACCTAACTACTGTTAGTAGAAATAAAATATCACAATGGAATAATACGTTGCTATGGAAACAAATCTATTAAGAAGACAGTTTACGTTTCCTACTATATTTTAGTTCGGATGCCTTATTT